TTGTTCTACAACCCGATCGGAGGCTCTGCGAATGTTAAAAACTACTTTTATTCATACAAACCCAAGTAGATACATGTTACTGTGCTTGCAAACTTAATCTCTGAATTTTGAACTTATTGGTTTGCTAAGTTGTATTTGGGTAAACTGTTTCACTGATTTTTGGTTCAAACTTTTCCAAATAGCTTCTGGAAAAAAGGCTCTTCTTTCTGTTTTTCTTTGAGTCTGAAAGGCAGGTGAGCAGCAGCAAACACAAAAATAGCAGGGGTGCCATGGCTGATTTGGGTTTTAATGCAGTGAAACACAAACTGAACCTTCGATCCCTGCTATATTAGAAGCCACTTTACTACTTCACTGAGGTCCCACCTCTCGCTCTTTGACTGCTGGTGACCCCCCCCCAGTCCAAATCTCACAACAAACTGCCCTTCAAAGCCAGCAACCCTGCAGTTATGGTTTCTCCTGAAAAAAAAAGACATCTAACTTTTTAAACATTTTTCATGGCTGTAGTTGCAGCTTCAAGGAAAAGCGTTTAAACAAGATGGATGGATGAATGGATGGATGGAAGGATGATGGATGAAAGGACAGATGTACAGACGGAAGAAATACTTTGAAACTCAAATTAGATTAGCTGCTAGCTTAACTTCTCCATGAAAAATTCCCCCTTTTCCCCAAATGTAGGTAATTCTAGCAGTCGTCCACATCAAGATACAATCAAAACTACTGCATGCAGGACTTAGATATGTACTTTTACTTTAAACTATTACAAAACACCAAAAATATATTGAATTATTAGTATTCTTATCAATTATAAACACCACTATATACTGTATGTTTTAGCTAACTTAAACCGTGACTTGAATTTCAAGTTAGTTTTGACTTCCAACACTTTTCCATAAAATCAAACCAACCAGTTCAGGAAATGTTGTATTCCAGCAAAATTTAGACTCATGGACACCAACTGTCTGTGAGCAGCTATTTATTATAAAGATGCGTACACCTACACCTCACCTATGGTCACAAACTTTGGGTAGTGACTGAAAGAATGAGAATGTTGATGCAAGCAGTTGAAATGAGTTTCCTCTGCAGGGTAGCTGAACTTTCCCTCAGAGAGAGGGTGAGAAGTTCCGTTATCAGGAGAGACTCGGAGTAGAGCCACATCGAGGCTCAGTTGAGGTGATTCAGACATCTGGTAAGGATGCCCCTGAACACCTCTAGAGAAAGACTGTAAGGGTACGTATGACTGGGAGAAGAACCCGGGGAAGACCCAGGACACACTAGAGAGAGGATGTCTCTCGACTGGCCCGGGAACGCCTTGGAGTCCTCCCAGAAGTGGCTGTGGAAAAAGATGTCTGGACCATTTTCTGCTTGAGCTGCTGCCCCCATGACTCAACTCCAGAATAAGTGGAAGATAATGGATGGATGGACGGTACACTTTATTTTCAGCATGTATCTCACTGGGCAGCATTTGTTGGTGATAAATTATGAACAGGATTTCCAGAGTTCTTAGTGTTCGTATATGATGTTCACATCCTGGACAGAGAGGAACGATGGTTTGAGAGAGGAGTAAAGGAGGCCATCTTTGTGAAGAGAAACCATCCATCATTAAACAGGGGTGGAGCCTCCGGGTTCAACTGTCCCCCTCTTACAATGCTGTGATTGCTGGTATCACTCAACCTCCTGTGAATAGTAAACAGCCATCAGGTGCTAATGATCCATTGTTAGGCTGATGGTCCTTCTTGATCACATGAGCAGCTAGTTCTGGATGTCAACAACAAACTGCTTGGTCCACTATGAGAAGGTGCTGCTTATAAGACTGAGTTTGTTGCAGCTCTTCAGACTGAAGAAGTCCTTTGGATAAAAGATGAAACGTTTCAACAAGAAGAATCTTCCAGAGGACCTGACTCAACTTTGTTAGATTTTTCTATGTGGATTACTGAGCATGAGTCAGGATGTCCTTACATGAGTTGCAGAGCTTCACTCTCGAGTAGCGGGAGTTTTAAACATGTTTGAAAAATTAACATTTTTACAACAACTTTTATATGTCCTTTTTGGAATGGTCCCTCTTGTAAATGTATTGCACAAATTAGATATGGCTTTATGTGTTAAAGTTGCATGTTTTATTTAACGTTGCTGATCACTTATTGTGTTTTTTTTTTGTTTTTTTTTAGGCTGCCACCCATGATATGGCCAGAGACACTAGCTCGTGCAGGTGTTCCCCATCAGCCGTAATGGCACGAAGGCCAGGAATGAGGAAATAAAAGAGCAGAACAAGCAACCAGAGGCGCAACGGCAGACGTGCGCAGCAACCGCCAAGGGGCTGGAGATGCGGCGGCCAGGTAGCGCAATGGCCAGGTGCACAACAACCGCAGAGGGGCAACAGCCGGGGACAAGCCGGTCAGCAGGTTCGCAGAAACTGAGGGCGCGGTGACTAAGAGCAGAGACAAGCTGGGGTAAGCACGTCCACAAGAAACCAGCTAAACTGGTCGGGCATGGTGAATCGTGCCCGGTTGGAGGGTGCAGTCATCTGGGTCTGGTGTAGAGGGCGGAGGACCGAGCGTCGGAGATCGCTGGAGGTCAACGTCACCATGGGATGCCGGACTCAGGGAGGTGCGAGCACCGGGTGAGGTCGAGGCCGTGGAAGGACGCCGGACTCGGGAAGGAATGCTGGGAGATAATTGAAGGTTGAGACTCGAGACCGCCTGGGAGCGCCGTGCGAGGGCAAGAAGACCACGCCCACTTCCAGCTAAGACTCTGCTTCTTGTTCCCTCAGACCGCTACTGACCGTGATGCCCTTTGATCTTTTTAAATGACATCATTTGGCTGTTTTTTAACATTTGGACAGCTGCAACATTTTCCAGTTGTTGTAATCAAATGTTGTAAACCTCTACCGTATGTTTTGTGAAACATTGCTCACCCTTGTGATAAGTGACTTCATCTTATTCCTAGTTTAACTAGGTGGCGTTGCTGGTATTAATTTAATTTTCTTCTGTCTGACTAAAATAAAAACAGCACCACTCATGATTGTGACATCTTGAGACTACAAAGCATTTGCATGTTTAGATGCAGTTTGTTCTGAAATGTGTCGTTCAAAGTAATTCAGTGTGATTCAAAGTGAAAATTTCTGCAAATTTGAAATTTTCTGCTTCAACCCGTCATCAGCAGCGGCAGCCCAGTGGGATAACCTCGGATGAATAAATATCGAACAATGTGTCAGTTTAATCATTGGTTCTGGTTAAATGCTCGGATGGAATACGCACGCGACTAAAGTTTTGCTGTTGTCGAGGCGGCTGATAACTGTGCAGCTAGAGACTGATAAACAGATCCCACAAAGCCAGCACAATGCCATCCCTGCGTGTGATTTTAGATTGCACGCCAGCGTGAAACCAGCACCGACAATCAAGCTGTGAAAAACCAGGACTTTACATGAGAAACACCGACCGTCTTTATAACAAAGTGCCCACACGTTCTTACATCGCCACCATATGCTGAGCAGATTTATTCTTGATTTGTATCTAATTTAGCTTCATTAAATCCCATCTCTTGTTTTATTTATTTACTTTTAAAGATCAGGGTTTTATCAAGACTTACTGTAAGTTAAAAGCTTTTTTTTTTGGCATCTGGCACTTTTCATCGTATCGAGTCCGATGCGAGATTCAAAGTGGCTTCAGATGCACAGATTTAATCCAGCGATGCTGCTGGTGCTTTAATCCCTGGCCGGTGGAGGCAGATGGTGGACCTAATGGAGCCCCGTTCTGCCGGAGGTCACTTCCTGTTAAAACATGTAAGCTACAGATATGGAAACTGACTTCAAACGAAGGTTTCATGTGATTCTGCATTATTTATAAATTGAAATAATCTAACTAATAAAGATATAGCATTCCTTGAAGGAACGTAGATCCCTCGTGCCAGAGTTTTGAACTAAGACTTGATGGAGTTAGACGTTTTTGTTAAAATACAAAAATGAAATAATAAAAAAAAAGAAAAAAAAAGCTGAATCTTATATGACCTGTTTACTACTATATGAGTTACGACTCAACTACAACTTCAGTAAAATTTTAACTCAATATATGTGAACTTGACTGAGTTACAGCCATCTTTGCGTTTGCAGAGGTTGACGAAATGGGGCGGCCATCTTGAACTGGATTTAACTCAAATGCAAACCAGTTGTAGACTTTAATCCAGTAATTACTTTCTGAGAGTTGCATTAAAATCTGTCCAGTAGTTCATAATATATTTTGCTAACAGACACAAAAACATAATCCACAATGACAATTACACTGAACCACATTTCTTGTGAGTACATAAATAAAATAAACAGATTTGATTGTACTGTACATGAGTCTGTTTTATGCCTTCACAATAAAAGCACATCTCACAGGGCATGGACAAACACCTCCAACCAGCAGCTTGTTTATCAGGAACATGACAAACCACATTTTCTTTTTTAAATATCCCCGTGCGGTGCGAGCTGAAACAAAGAAAGTCAGTTGTGTTCTCAGTACAACGGCACCCTGCTGATGTATGGAAAAGTACTTAATAAAGTACTTATTAAAACAAGTCAACCTTTGTGCTCAGCTGCTCCGTAAACACTCGCAGAGCTGTGAAGGTTTGCTGCAGCAATAAACCACACGAGCTGTGAGAGTAAACAAGTGCTGAAATCTCTGAGATCAAAAGTTTAATAACCTATCTGTGTTTGCTGTTCAGTTTGGGCGTCCTTTTAGGGGAACAACAGAAAAAAAAGATTTACACAATGTCTACACAGCGAAAGCAGCAGCAGCATCCCTGCGTCTTGTGTACACACACGATGCGTCCACGCTCTGGAGATGTTTTGCAGCTCTGGGTGGTGAGAAAAACGGGAGCGTGTTTGCTTAATTAGATGCTCCTGAGCTGCGTGCTTCAAAAAGCTTCGAGTGTAAAGAAAAAATGCACAAGAAATGAATCGTTTTCTGGAAAATGTGCAGCAAATGATTGTTTTCTGTTGCTGTTTTTTTTTATCTTGTTACCGTCTGCAGGGCGTCCTCTGAGGGGGCCTGAGGCCCGTAAGCGCCTGAAAGACAAATCTAAGGGGAAAACCCCACAGTGCTTATGAAGCGTTCAACTTTTATAGTTGTGTTGTTATTGAGTGACTTTAATCTATAATTCAAAACATTTGTTCTGTAAATCAAACTGTAAGTCCTTGAAGGAATGCATGTAGCCCGTCATCTCTCATGCCAGTTTTAAACTGAGATTATTTTATTTTGAAAAATGAGGAATAGTTTGTCAAAACTTAAAAACATAACTTTATGCATGATGTCACGTTTAAAGTATGTTTTGTGAATGGATCTTGGATACTACCTCATTAAATGTTAACTCAGTATCCCTACATTTGGTAGCGTTCCATACCTTTATGTATTGGCTAATGCTAAGTGGCTACGGCAGCCATCTTGAATTAGACTAACTCCACAAGTTAAAAAGTTAAAGACATATATCTGATGTAAACTCGCTGAAGGTTTTATTGAAATCCTTTCAGTAGGGAATGAGAAATTTTGTTAAAAGACAGAGAAAAGCGTTTAAAAACGAATCAAAAGTTTTACACTTTGTGTAACCCTCATAGTTTCTTTGGGGGACAACTAACCTACTACCATACCAGTTTTTATGGCAGTATTTGTAAAACTGACTGGATTGTACAGATGTCTGAGTCTTCTGCACCAGTTAACTGTGGCAGACAATTAGATTGGCTCCAAAAGTTAATCACTTGTAGATGTGTATCTATGATTTATTACTATGTTTCATTAAAATGTGCAGCGGCTCATAAGATATTTTGCTAACACACGAAAAGAGCCGACTTCGACAATTGATACAGAATTTTCAAGCAGAGATCTTGTTCAGTCTGTTAGCTCAACGTGTTTTAGATCAGTGTTAGCTACATCCATCCATTATCTTTTACACGCTTCTTCCATTTTCAGTCACGGGGGTCGCCGGTGCCCATGTCCAATCACTGTGCGAGGGGCGGGGACACCCTGGACAGGTCTCCAGTCCATCACAGGGACACATAGAGACAAACAACCATTCACTCTCTCACTCACACCTAGAGACAATTTAGAGTTACCAATCAGCCTAACATGCATGTTTTGGGTCTGTGGGAGGAAACTGGAGCACCTGGAGAAAACCCACACATGCACGGAGAGAACATGCAAACTCCACCCAGAAAGACCCCCGGACATGGATTTGAACCAGGGACCTTCGCGCTGAGAGGCAGCAGCTCTACCAGTTGCACCACTGTGCTACAACCACACCAAGTCGTAGGTCAATGTTTGTTAAATAGCTACGTTACGGCCATCTTAGTGTTTTCTAATGTGGAGTAGCTGTGGCCACCGCGGTGAGCTGGGTTGACTCTGAAAGTTAATCAGCTGTTTCATTAACTTAAAGAGATAAAACAACACGAGATTGTTGAAATCAGCTGACCTTCCTGAGCACGATGACGCCATCCTGCGTGCTCTGGTTGGTGGTGATGTCAAACATCCCGGGACCGTCGTTTCCAATGATCTTGTACTTCATCTCGGCGTTCTGGCCAATGTCCGCGTCCATGGCCTGGATGAGCCCCACTGTGGAGCCCAGCTCGTTGGACTCAGGAACTCTGAACTCGTACAGGGCTGCGGACAAAGAATCTGAGTTTTTAAGCTTGTCGTGAAAATAAAACTCTGGTCAACCAACGCAAGGCTGTTGAAGTTTTTAATAGAAAAAGAAAACAGAAAAAAGAAAATCTCTAAAACAGAAAAGCTCAGGTGTGTGAGTGGCCATGACAACCGAGGTCTTATCCTTGGTGCTTCTTTTCATGTCAAGCTCCGGTTTTCTTTCCCAACAAAATCGTTCATTCAACCGGTGAATCAGAGCTTCTATTCATATTTTCTAACCTGGATGAGAATGCCCCAAGATGGTCAATTTCTTAAAAAATAAAACAACAGCAACAACACAAAGAATAGATAAAAACCTACACAGGCCAAAAATGGAATGGCAGTGACCGGAGAATTTCTGCTCGACCTTGTTAATATGAAAATGACTTGGCGTCAGTGGGTAAGTCCGAGAGCGGGACTACGAGAGTTCAGGGCACAGAGCTGAAGAGGAGGAGGTGTGTGAGAGGGGATTTAATGATTTGTAGATCAGCTGTGGAGCAGTAAAATATACCTTGTTTCCAGCCTCGTTCACAGAACTCGCTACAAGCCATATCGACTCAAAGATTAGGACGCTACATAAATTTTAGGCGAATTTGCTCTACGTAAATTAATTACCCCTTGATGGTTTTTTTTCTTACTTTGCCAGATGATTTCCTGGTTTGAGGGAGAAGGGCGGTGAATTGATAGTTACCTGTCGGCGGCGGCTGCATCTCGTATGTTTAAATAAATAACCGGACGGCAGCAGCAGAGAGTTGCTGTGATATACGCACACAGCCTGCGGAGACAAACAGCTCTGACACGCTAATAAAACACGCTGACAGCGTTTTGGCAACGCCTGAGTCGGCAGGTCTGTGTGACACCTAACTCTGAATACACGCGCACTCTGAAAGGGATGCTCCAAGAGAAGGTTTCCCCGAGGCTAACGGGTATTTAGCATCGGCAGGGAAAGAAGAGGCATCACTCCGGCAGACAACAATGATATCGCTTCCTGACACGCTGCCTCCTTTGGGTGTCCCATTACAATATCTCCTCACTCCTTTTTGCCTCCATCACCCCTCTTTCCATCCTCTCGTCTCTCAGCTTTGGAGGGACTGAGGATGACAGGACGCGCCGCCTCCTCTACCACTTGCCGTGGCGGCATTGACAAATGGGAGGCGACTGTGGGACCTCTGAAGCCACGTGTTTGCCTTTGCGTTGCCCCCACCGCCGGGCAGTTCGCTGCTTCTGACGGTAATCTGTCAATCCAATCTGGCCTGCCTTCGCCCGTTCGCACAGGAGAAAAAGGGAAGCGAGTCGCTCCGGATAAAGATTGATGACTGAATGCACTGAGGACAGTTTGAGCTCTAAATTGAGAACAGTGGTTTTTATGGAGGGAAAGCCTTAACAGAGGAGATAAAACCCAGTGAATGCACTCTCTTCATTTAATAGGGATTACAGGGCTGATCTGATGCACTTTGCGAGACCCTTCGTTCCATCATATGGCTCTATATTTAATTATTCTCTGCCTTTAAGAGGTCTGCACACAACCCCGAGCTCCCTGCAATAATCCAGATTCATTTTGAAACTGACACCAGATGGGGGCTGCATGCCTGCCTGGCACCGGCTGGTGGCAGCGAAGGAGTCCGTGTGTGTTCGAGTCCAGAAGGCCCGTACTCACTCTTAGTGAAGCGCGGCGGGTTGTCGTTCACGTCCAAGAGGGTGATGCTGACCGTCGTGGTTCCTGAGAGTCCGCCCATCTGTCCGGCCATGTCTTTGGCTTGAATCACAACCTGGTAGTGTTCTTTGACTTCCCTGTCCATGCCGGGCAGGGCGGTCTTTATCAGACCTGAGGGAAAAAACAAAAAGCAAAGATTTATAGACAGACAACATTCAACACACCAAAAAATAGGGTATTGATGTTAAAAACACAAGACTGTGAAAAAAAAAAATCAGATTTTTATTCATAACGTACTTCAAACTTGAGGGTCTTCTACTTGTCTTTGACTTTTCACCATCACTGTTCACATTTTAAAACTGAAAGCACTTTACTCTGTGGTCACTGTTCACGTTAGCAAGTGTTCCTCTGACCCTCTGACTGCACGAGAATGCAAATTTTATACAGTTTTTCCTCATGAAAAATCTGTTAATATTTAAAAAATCAACATTATTTGTGGAGTACGTTGAATATTTGAATACATGAGTCCACAAAACTTTCTAAAAGCTGCACATATGAACATATCAGCAGCCAAATGAGACAACGACATGCAAAATAACTTGTCACAAACTGAGGCAAGACTTTAAGAAGGATAGAAACGGCACAGAAAGGTTTACTGATATTACCAAGGGTTTAGATAATTAATTATTCTTTTTGTAAAAAGGGTTGGGCTAATAAAAGTCTACCTGTTTGCTGCACAGTTTTTATTCAAAGTGAGCAAGAAAACAGTGACTTCTCTAGAGTCCTTCATTAGATTCATCACACAAGACAACCTTAAACCAACTGAGCGAGCTGCAGCTGTTGATGACACATTGAGTTTAGTCAGTGTCGGCAACTTTGGGAAACAGGAAGTGCAAGAGACGTGAGGCAATGTTGGGGATGTTTGGCAACCTACGAAATGAAACTGACATTATGAAGAACAAGATAGTACAAGAAAATGGGTACCACTTTACAGTAAGGCTCCCCTTATAGATGGCTAATATAGATATGTTATTAATTCCTCTATAAACACTTTGTAAATCATTAATAACTGCTTATAATGCATTAATTAAAGGTGGCAGAGAGACAAAACTGACCAGTCTGTTGCCAAATAGTGAGGTAAATCTGTTCACCTATATATTTCATCTAGAGTTGTCATATTAAACATTTCAGACTAAGTTACTAACTTGTAAACACAATAAGGATTTGTAAACCTATTTCTTTAGCATATAATGTTGTACTTTATCACTGCATTACAAGTATCTAAAGTTAATATTATATCCTGCACATTTGTTCAGAAAAAACTTCCTGCTGCAGCTGATCAGCTGTTCACCGAGCAGAGCGGAGAAGTGGGCGTGGCCAAGGGCGCTTGCAGGTGGCAAAGAGCAGAGGAGGCAGGGAGCTGAAATCATGACATTCTGTGCTCTTTTACAGAGTTTAGAGTTTAGAGACATTGTTTTGAATATTGCACGAGTGTGGGGAGGGTTTAAAAAGCCTTTATATATAAATATATATATAAACAACTACTTACTAATTGCAGTACTATTCCTACTATGCGGTTTTGCACTGATCGCAGGTCTTCAGGGTATGTACGGATCCCCTGCAATAAATGAGGGACTACTGTACTAATGAGACCACCAACTAAAATCATGATGATGATTTAAACCCTAGTAAATTCTTAGAGAGCGAACTCTAATCCTCAACTTTAACTCCTCAGTTTAGATTATTTCCTCTTTGTTCCATATAGTTCGGGTGGTTTAAAACATGTATTTAAAGACAAAACCCAGAACATTGATATTCCAGTTGTGCAGCACTGGATCTGTCAGAATCAATCAGATATAAACCAGTAGCACAGCTTTGATCACTCATTTGCTGTGTGGCAGCTTTAGTCACAAGAACAAACGTGGGTAAATCAAGCCGCCATATGGCTTCATAATTAATGAGCTGCTTCCACAGGTGGACAGCGTGCTTCTAAATAAAAATAGCGCCGCTCTCGTTTAAAACGTTAGGCGATTGTGAGCCGAGCTGATGTAATACCATCTCATCTGTTCGACTCATCTGCATGCCAGATAATTAAATCAAAAGCAACATTTTATTACTGTAGATCAGCAGACATCCAGGAGCACATGCTGGCGTCTGATTTAATCGGTGCAGAGGAGGAAAAAGTCCCCAAATCTTAAAAAGCATTCTTTTAATTCTTTAAGTGTGGCTTCCAAATCCTTTCAGGATGTTTTTTTTTGTCGTTGGTGCAGAAACTCTCGCTCTGTTCAGGTCTTTTGAGTGCGGTCGCCCACTTTTCTTCTCGTCGTGCTTTTAGGTTTGGAGTCAGGACGGAGCGGAGCGGGTTTTTGGCAGCGCGTTCAAAAGGTACGCTCCGTTTCCCATTGGGTTTAAAATCCTGTCTGCCGTTAAAAGGTTTAATTAGAAGCGTCGCATGAGAGAAGCAGGTGGGAGGACACTTGTAGAGTAAGCACAGTAAATAAAGTCAAACTTTGACTTTAAGAGATGGAGGCTCATCAAACTGGCTCTTGTCCTCCGTTCATACAGAACATGGAGAAAGAAGATAAAACCATTTATCTGGCAGGTTGTTAAGAATCGTTCAGGTGGTGTTGCAGCCCAGGCAGCGATCGTATAGGAGCTTTAGAAAACAGCACACCGCCTGCGTCTACCTTTGTTATTCCTTAATGACTACAATACCCAGAGAAGAGGAGGAGTGGGGGAACAAATCCTGCTTATAATGTGATGTCCAGGCCTGTCTTTGTGTAAGAAGCGAATGTCAGCTTACATACCACATGTGGGATAAACCATATTACTGTTAATCCCCTCACTAATCTGCAAATGGCTTTTTTTTTTTTTTTACTCTTTTGTTTTGACACAAGCGGGATGTGTTCCAAAGCGCGCTGTAATGATTAAAAGTAGATCTTTAGGGCTGGTGATTTGCCACTCTCTCGATTACAAATCCCCCCCCCCCCCCCCCCCACTCCACTTTGCCCAAAAAGAGGAAGCGCAGTCGTGTTTTTGGATTCGGTTGAAGGAAAATTAGGTTCGTTCCAGGAAGTTATCCGGTGATGAATTGTTTTAATTTGGTGCAGCTTCGGCTTGCGCTCCTCCATGTTTCTGTTTTCCATAGTGCCCCCCCACCCTCCAAAGAGGGAGCCGTTGTGTTGGGAGTGGGGGCAAGGCGTAGGTGGAGGGTGCAGCTGCTGTAGCATTGTTAGTGCGGGAGGATGAGAACGTATAGCAGCGCACGTTAGTCCAAAAGCAGTCGTAGCTGCAAATAAATACTGATCCCTTTGATTTTCTTACATTTAAAATAAAACTCTTCAGAGAATCTGCATCTTGGAGCTGCTTTGTGTGGAAATGTTTTCACTTGTACTAAAAAATAAAATAAAATAAAATAGAGCAGCACGGATTAAAATAGACCAACTTGTTGCCACCAAGACTGCTCTTAATCAGGTTGAAGGAGGAGACAAAGTAAAGGGTTTCAGAAAAATATATGGAATTTTTTTTATTTTTTTTTTAAAGAAGAAAATATCTAATTAAATTAAAAAAAAAACAATAAATATTTCACCAAAAGTTGTGAAAATAAAATATATGTACAGTAGTCCCTCGCTACTTTGCCGTTTGTTTTTTGTGGACTCACTCTATCGCGGTTTTTCAAAGAAAGATTGGACATGACACAAAATTGTCTGATTGACGGATGAGCCACACGATCGACATGGAATTTTTATTTAAAATAAATTATTTTAAATTATTTGGCGCCTGCTGCACCTGTGTGCAGCCCACAACTGAAGGAGAAGCTTCCTCCTGCAGCTGATCAGCTGATCTCCGCTCTGCAGCGGAGAAGTGGGCGTGGCCGAGAGCGCTGGCAGAGTGCAGCGGGAGGCGGAGAACTGAAATCATGACATGCTGTGCTCTTCTAGAGCGATTAGAGTTTAGAAACATTGTTTAGA